TTCATTCACGTTTAATGATGCAACGAAAAATAGTAGTGTGCAAGTCGAAACTTCCATTTTATTCCAGAACATTTGCAGTGCGCAAGTCGTAACTTCAGCAGCTATGTCCCTTTGTCTTGTCGCTAAAGTAGTGTATTTATAGGCTAGATATGAACGATCATTCGAAGCATATTATATGTTTTATAAGCAGTGACATAAGCATGTATTTGACCAAAATTCCAAAATTGTCAGCAAACTGCATGTGTAGCGCGGTGAATGTTTATGATAGTCAACCAATGGGATGCTACATTTTATTCCTTCTGACATTAAAGCTCTTGAATACGACAACAAGCGCGTAATCATGACTTCATAAGTGGGAAATAGGACATTTCCGATAGCACGTGAAGGCAGCATTACACAGCTGGTGCAACTGGCCCCAGTTCAAAGAGCTTTTACTGAAAGTAAACTACTAAGATTACTCAGAACTTCTGTAACGAAATGCACTAAAATTACATTCACACATCTGAACCTGTCTCTGCCTTTTTACACTGCAGGCAATCAGCTAAATCAGTCAGTCAATAAGCCTATACAAAGGTGTGCAGTTTAAATCGGGTTAGTTTTGAAGAGCCACTAAGAAGTAATTATTCACATAATGTTGGAGGTTTCTGTAGTTTATGCATACATTTACATTTCGACTAAGTGTAATGGTGTGACAGAAAAATATTTAGTAGACCAAGTCAAAACTAGACTAAATAGGTGCAACCGGCCCAAAGAGCATTTCATGAAAGTAATAATTAAAAAGATTTTTTGTTGATCAGTGCCACAAAAGCCAAGATAAATCCATTGATTGACTGAACTCTCCTACAGAAATAAATGAATAAACACACAGTCTTGAGATGGAGAGAAAAGCTGGATCTCTCACTCACAGATCAACAACACACGGTTTGATTAAACCATTTCAGTGCAGACATCTGACTGAATATACAACACGTGATCACCATCAATGAACAAAACGCCATGAAACACACACACACACGGCTCATTCTGCACTGTAAAAAATTACTGTGAATTTAACGGTAAAAGACTGTAAAAATGCTACGGTAAAAACCTGTTAAATGGTTAACGGTAAATTCCCCTACTATATATGGTGAAAAACTGTATTGGACATTACATGTATTGGACATACATTTTATGGTAGTATACCGTTTTTGGAGTGAAAAAGACCGTATAATTTACAGTGAATAACCGTAAATTGACATTCCCAGAATTCTCTGCGTTACATTTCAGATTTGATGTTATTTTGTTGAAATAACTATGTTTCTTCTTAGTTTTTTCTTATCAGTTTTGTATATTAGGGTTGTGTGTTACACCTAATGTTGTTAAATGAATGTTTATTGCATACATGTTTCTTGTGTGTTACCGTGATGGTGTTTAGTGTTTGTGTGAATGACACTGTGCACCTTCTCTATATGTTATTGTTTAAAAGCTGTATGTGATGGGCTTTGGTTCATCGTGTGACTTTCTCATCACCTCCTGCATTTGGTGGTTATCAGTGTATTACAAAGCTACAAAACAGATTTCAGTACTTCAATAGGTTGGTATATTAACATTATATCAGTTAATGAAATTATGGTATTTAACTGTAAATTTAATTTAAAACCTAAAACGTTGCTACCTTATTTTTTACAGTAAAATTCCGGCAACCACAGCTGCCATTTTTTTACCATAAATTTTACGGAATTTTTTTTTACAGTCTGGGTTTGCTTGGTTCGGTCCAGTAGGAATGTTTTAATGAATGTTCTCCAGTCTCTGGTTTTGTTTTCACCAACACATATCAGCACATTCCAGAAACTCTGAGCTCAGTGATGGATGCTCTTATGATTTGTGCACATTTTGTGGTTTTGTTCTTGATTGTGCGAGAGCTAAAAACGATCAGAACTGAGGCGGAGTGAAGAACTCAAGGTGTTTTCAGGTGAGGGACAGTCAACATCTACAATAAATATCACACACAGATAAAACAGGGCTCCACAGCTGTGTACTTCACTTCCAAACATCATCTGCTCTGATCACACTGTGCTCCAGGTTTGATCCGAACCTCCAACATCAACTCCTGTAATTCTGCCTGAACCGCTCTCAACATACACACTCCACTCAAACTCTTATAAACTTCATGTTTTAAATACAACTCCCCCCTTTTTTGAGGGAAACTCTTAATATCTGGTCATTCTGACATGATTTGTGTCCGTTCTGATGAAGTTTTTACTCCCCTTGTGTCAGTTCCAAAACCCACCCTTAACTTCTCATTTCCCATGCTTTTTTGTTTTTTAAACCCAGCCATACAGATTCATTTCTTTAAGGTGTTGTGGCAGCAAAACACACTGGAAGCCCAAAAATAAAGAAATCAAAGCAGGAAATGATATCACTGCTAAATACTACAGAAGGGAAGTGAGAGAACGCAAAAGAACCAGGAACAAGAGACACACCTGCTCTTAAAGCCTCCGTCTCCACCAGCACAGCTGAACACAATAATCACTGACTCATTATCATTGGCTGAGAGCCAGAGCTGTCAAATAATCAACCAATCAGAGGGACTCCTGGGCTGCACCTCAATTTGCATACTTGTACTTAAGTGCGATGGGATGTCATTGATGAAATTTGCTCATCAATTTGAATCATCTGTTAATTTTATGGTGAATCTTGTGATTTCATGTAGTAAATTTCATATGCATAAAAACTCAACTCTAAATTCTAAAAGAGTCATTCCAAACCATTTTTTTAGGTCTTTATGATTGAATTCTTAACTTGTATATACAATAATATTTACTAAAGAGTTAAAGCTAATTAAAAGGTAAAACTGAAACTACTTACGTTGAGTTGAATTACTGAAATAAATGAACTTTTCCACGACATTCTAATTTATTGAGATGCACCTGTATATAGTATGTTGTATTTAGATGTTGTTTAGCAAATTGTGCTGTGTGTTTAGTATTCAATAAAACAATTTTTTAAAAATCACTCCGAATACTGCTTGAGATGTAAGCTTTATTATTGATATAAGCTTGTGGAAACAGCTCTGCATAATAATATTTTTGAATCGTATACAAAAGGCCTGTTCCCTAAACACAAGAGACTTTGAAAACTTCACCGGGGAAATCAGTCAGACGCTCAGTCGCAGCTGTTTTTCTACGTAATGACGGTAAGAGGCGTCCAGACTTCCTGCGTCTCATGAAAACCCTCACAAACCCTGAGCTCACACACTGTTCCTGCATGTAACTGTAATGTAAAGAGGGTTCAGCACTAATGCAAGTTAGTTTCATTCAGTCTGAGCAAATCAAAGCTATATTATCACTCTAAAAAAATGGTGCTAAATAGCACTAAAAGTGACTCATTGGCTCGTAATCATAGGGGAACCACTTAACCACTACAAACCACTCTTTAAATGTATTATACAGCACTTCTGTCAAATGGTTTTATAGAGCCATAAGAGGAACCCCATTCTCCTCTTTAGATTTTAGATATGTTTGCTATGAATGGGAATTTACTACAATGGCAAAAGCTGTTTTGAATCACTTTTATGCTTTTCCAAGGTCAAAAAGTCTCATGTGGGGGCCTTGGAATATTTCCTTATAGGGGGCCCTTGGGGGCAAAAAGGTTGAGAACCAAATACACTGTATTTTATTGTTGTTTTTTACTCCTTTCCCCAGCTAAAGACTAAGAGTTAGAGAACCTTTAAAGAACTATACAGGACGGGTTCTTTGTAGTGCTATATAGCACCTCAACCACCCCAAAGAACCGCTGAAGAACCTGTTTTGTGTGTCTGTGTATTTTTCTGTTCGAAATTAACAAAATGAAAATAATAAACATCATAAACCATCTTCCAAACCGTGTTTTTGCCTTATCCTAAATCGCTAGAGTTGTCGGGATGGATTTCCAAAGAAACGGCATAAATAAATGAAAGAAGGTCAGGCTACTACTATATGCAGTGAAAGAAGCTTAAAGGGGTCATATGATACGATTTCAAGTTTTTCTTTCTCTTTGGAGTGTTACAAGCTCTTGAAAAAGACAGTATAAGTCATTATAATCAGTAATTATGTCTCCACTGGATGCAACAAATGCCTCGTTTGTAATGGGTTTTAATGTTTTTGTCTCGTCGCTCCGGCCGGACACAGCATCACAGTATGTGAGGGGCGTAACATTTCCGTCACACGCTTGAGGTATTCGGCCAATCACAACGCACTGGACAGCTGGCCAATCATTGGGTTATTTCAACCCAACTTTTGGGTTAAATGTTTACATTCAATTTTTAACCCAAAAGTTGGGTTAGTCCAAATTTGACCCAAAGTTGGGTTGAAATAACCCAGCTTTTTTTTTTCGAGTGTATATACACACACACACACACACACAAATATATATATTATTAATATATGAATATATTTTTTCTACTATTTGTATTATATACAAACAAATGGTGCATAATTTAGAGCTGCATATTTTGTAATATCATGAAATATCCACAAAATACAAAGTATTAAAGATTAAATATTATTATAGCAAAATATAGTACATTTATTTAAAAATATATGCTTACTGTCTTTGGTTTTGAAGGCCAAGTGTGACTCATAAGTGAGGAATAGCAGAGGACTAGATTAACGATGCCGCAGATATAAACTCAGTTTAATACAGTTGGAAATATTTGTGACATTGGAGACTGTGTGTGATGTCAGTCTGGTTTCAGGATGGCTCTGTGCGGTTCATCACGGCTCATATCAGAGAGCTTTCAGCAGAGCAGTATCTGGGTTTCATGGATCGCTGAAAAACACATTTCTGAGGTCAGACAGAGTCGAGGTGGATCAGAGGTGTCTGCAGACATCGAGCTGTGTTTGAGATGACTCTCAGTGGTAGAACATCACCATCTAGTGTCTGAACACTCTCACAACCTCTAACAGCATGAAATACAGCAGAAATTCAGCCAGGAGGTGCATACGATACACAGTGATTGGCTAGATCCTGCATAAAATGTATTGTAATTCTGGTGACCCTAAGCGCACCAGAGAACAAACGGCAAAACAAATGAAACTAGACCAAAGAACAGAATTACCAGAGAACTACAGGTTTAATGTTTTTTTATGGATCACTTTTGAATCAGTTTGTGATGTGAAAATGTCGTCTGTGTTTGGATCCTCACGGGGGTTTGAGGTGTCCATCTGCTGCACACTGGCCCTAAAAAAAACAAATACACATTAAAACTGGCTTTATATATAAACAATAAAAGTCCATGGTGTTCTCATTCAGACAGGGTACCTGTACCTGCTGTGTGGTGAGTTTGAGCAGGTCTTCATACAGTCTTTTCCATCGGTGCACCTCAGCCAGGAGGTCAGACGTCACCTCAACATCCCACCTGTGAGGAATCAAGAAACATCTTAGCGGAATGTAGAAATTAAAATAACAATAAAATCAATAAAATATCATTAAAATTGCAAAATAAATCAATTAAATATATAAAAAATTTAATAAAATAATGACCTGCTGCAGGATTCTGTGGATCGATTGAAATGCACAGTATTCCTGACAGTATCCAACTGCTCATTCACCTGCAGCTCCAGGGACTCCTTCTCACCTGACAGACAGTCCTTAAACCTGTCCACACACACACACACACACACACACATACATACATACATACACACACACGTGTGTGTGTGTGTGTGTCTGTGTCTGTGTCTGTGTCTGTGTCTGTGTGTGTGTGTGTTTGTTTGTGTGTGTGTGTCTCTGTGTCTCTGTGTGTGTGTGTGTTTGTTTGTGTGTGTGTGTCTCTGTGTCTCTGTGTGTGTGTGTGTTTGTTTGTGTGTGTGTGTCTCTGTGTCTCTGTGTGTGTGTGTGTTTGTTTGTGTGTGTGTGTCTCTGTGTCTCTGTGTGTGTGTGTGTTTGTTTGTGTGTGTGTGTCTCTGTGTCTCTGTGTGTGTGTGTGTTTGTTTGTGTGTGTGTGTCTCTGTGTCTCTGTGTGTGTGTGTGTGTGTCTGTGTCTGTGTGTGTGTGTGTGTTTGTTTGTCTGTGTGTGAGTGCGAGTCTGTGTGTGTGTGTGTGTGTGTGTGTGTGTGTGAGTGTGTGTTTATGAAATGGAGCGCATGGAACCTCTTGACGCAGCTCATCCACCTCCGCTGCTGCTCGCAGAGCCACTCAAACTGTTCGGCTGTTTCACGGAGTTTGCCGAGACTCTCTGAATACTCGCGCCGCAGTTCCTCCACCGTCCTCTGGTGGGCGCTGCGCTGATCGCACAGATCCTGCCGCAGGGCTTCATGGGACATCTGGAGCTCCAGCAGCTCCAGCGATTTACTGATCAATCAATTTAATAAATAAATAAAACAAGCATATGAATATTCTAGGATGATTTTTCGCGAGCGAAGAAAGGCCCATTATCTAGTGTATTGATGTATTAAGTTTAGTTAAGTAGTTTAGTCAAATAGTTTTACAAATGTTATTTTTGAGAATTTTGTGTCAGATATTTATACAGTCTATGGTCAGATCCCAAAAAAAATAATTTTTCATGTTACTTTCACAAATGTACACTTAGTTTCAAATAGTAAACCTTTTTTTGTTATTGCTTAAAGAATGAAACATTATTTGAATACAATATAGGCTAATAATAAAAAAACACTTAGAACATCTGATTTGCACTGTCCATGTAAACGGATAAACAGCTTGTGTGTGTGTGTGTGTGTGTGCCCTCTGATTTGCCACCTGCTTAGCTGCATCTCTAGGTCTTGTATTTTCTGAGTCTCCTCGCGGAGCTGCGTCTCCAGGACCTCAGCCTGCTGGGCTCTGAGCTGGGCCTCCTGGGGCAGCTCGTCCACCAGGCCCATGAGCTGCTTTTCTGAGCCCTGCAGCTGCTGTAAATCACAGCTCACCTGCTCCAGCTGAAGAGACAGCAGTGAGGCATCCCTCCAGCGCTCCTCCGTCACAGAGATTAAATGCTGCTGCAGGAGATCGGCCTGTTCCTGACACACACACACACACACACACACAAACAGGGGATTCCAGCACAACGCACAGTGTATACTGCATACGCTTTATGATATTTTTCAACTATGTGCAATGTTGCAGCAATAAGCCTTCCATACAGTAGTTTAAATGTAAATGTGCGGGAAATCTGCTCATTCTCAGGTCATCTCAGATCAGGATGAGTTTGTTTCTTCATCAGGTTTGTAGAAATGCAGCACTGCATCAGTGTCTCAGCAATGGATGCTCTGCAGTGAATGGGTGCCGTCAGAATGAGAGTCCAAACAGCTGATAAAACATCACAATAATCCACAAGTAATCCACAGCACTCCAGTCCATCAGTTAACATCTGGAGAAGACAAAAGCTGAAACACGCTTCCTCCAGTGAAAAAGTGTTCTGGTGTGAATCAGGAGAGAAATCTGCACAGATCAAGCACTGTTTAAACAGCTCTAAACTAATATGTGGCTGGATTTTGATGTGAGAGACAACAGCAGATGCACTTTTTCACTTTGAGACACTGATGCAATGCTACATTTCTCCAAATCTGATGAAGAAACAAACTCGTCCTAATCTTGGATGAACTGAGAGTGAGCACATTTTCAGCTGATTTTCATTTTTGGCTGAACTATATCTCTAAGTTCAGTTGTGTAGATCCTAAAATGCTGCTGCCATATTTTTCATGGTAAAGTTCTGCTTCGGCTGTACCTGCTGTTTCTGAAATCGCTCCAGAAGTTGTTCGTATTTGATGCTCAGCTCCACATAGAGCTGCTCCCTCTGACACACACGCACCGACAGACCCTCCATCTCTGCCTGCAGAACCTGCTGACGCTCACCAGACACCAGCAGCTCTCGCTGGAGCACTGCTACACGCACACACACACACACACACACACACACACACACACACACACTCACTCACTCACTCACTCA